TCATGTACCTCGGTGCGCCAGGCCAGGACATGCGCTGGCGAGAGGGAGCCACACAGCCAGAAATAACCATGAATACGTCTGCCTTGCGCTGACCAGGCTCAGCCAATACGCCACCACCATGGGCACACGTGCCGCACTTGAAACACAGCCACCCCGGAATAACCTGCCGCCAATCAATACCAGCCGAGAACATGGGGCACGCTGAACCCGCACAAGACTGCAGTAGGTCAAGCCTCCTGTCGCGCTTGCTCATGCCACCTGCACAGTACCAATATCACGCGTAGAAACCGCCTGCCGATAAGCCCACGCCAATCGTAAACTACCCACCAATAGATAAAGCCCCCACTGCTACACAGATAAGGCCCACCTTGTTGATGGCGGCGGATACGAGCACAAGAAACCGCACGCCTCAATGACACTGTAAATCGCACCAGGCACCTGCCGCCACTGGCATCAGCTAGCACTAAAACCTTGGTTGCAGCCGAACTGTCGCAGCCATCTACACAACGATAAATTCCAGGAGCCCAGCCTCGCGAACAGACCAAGCCTGAAGCACCCACGGCAGAAGCCCCATGCCCACTGCCCGAGCGCCACTGCCCGCGCCGGTCATCCAGCTTGAGCTCCACGACTTACAAGCCCTATGGCAGCATGAAGATTGATGAAATTTGAGCTCGCTGCTGTCACCCTGTCTTGCATACTGCGGCCCCCTGCAACCGCCCATTGTCACTGCCTCCTCCGAAACACACTAGAACACGGCCTCGGTGTGCACAGCGAAAGCGGACGGCGTCGCGAAGGCACACAGAATGTCCGTATTCAAGTTGATCCACGGTTGAATCAACGCCTCGTCCAATAGCGAGTTCTCGCAAACAGGCTCGCCATCACGAATCTTCCTGAGCCGCTCAGGCAAGCGAGACGTCTTCCACTCCATGGCGTGTTCGAAGACGTCCGAGTAGAGCCCGACGTGGCCACCCATGATGCGGGCCTTGTGCAGCTCGCCGATTAATGGGGCTGGCTTGCGAGGAATCGTGTCCAAAGCGGCCAATGCCGCGAGAACACCCAGCGCCACGCTCCGTACCATGCTGCTGTCTCCAACACCAGTGAAGCAGACCTGCCAACGCCACACCGTAGCCTGGTAGCACATGCCCATGAGGTCCACGCTCCCATCCGACTCGATGAACTGCGTCGCTGAAGCCGGTCCCCGCAGGCTAATCCGCGCGACCAGGTCACGCCCGTTGACCAGGAACCGAGGTGCCTCGTTCGCGTCGTGGTTGCACTCGCACGGCTGGTACCCATGCAACTCTGTGAGCGTAGCCGTGAAAATCGGGCACCGCGCAGCCCTTGCTCCGTCAGTCCGCCTAGTCACACTGACGACAGTAGAATTCGGGAGCTGGCCCACCGTCGCCTCGAAAGCCATCAAGTCAAAGACGACCCTGCGAGCGCATGCATCCACAAATGAGCAGCCAACAGACTTCCTGATCAAACCGCCAAGAACTTGCCGGCACTCCGTAACTGGACAAATGCACGAAATAACCGTCCACGACGGCGTCGCAACCAACTCGGGATTTGCAAACAGCTGGAATATATCGCGAGTAACGATCCGAACCCCCATTTGCTGTAGTTCCGCGCCATGATGAGCCTGCAGCATCTCTTAGCTGAGGTCCGAAGCCTCCCACGTAGTCAGCACGCCCCGTGTGGCCTCGGATGTCGCTCCCGCCGAGATGGAAGACGCCTCCATGGAAATCGCCGAAGCCGAAGATGCCGCCATTGCAAACTTCCCCTTGGTCACCACCACCACTGCCAGAAAGAGCGCAAACCGCGTTCCCAACTGCACAGCCGTACCAGTGTCCCCCAGGCGCCACGAGAAGGCGGGAAGCCGAGAGGCGAAGCGCATCCGAGAGCCCAAAGATGGTGCTACGGCGCGCCGCCCCCCTTAGAGCTTGAGGAGGAGGAGGATGAGGAGGAGGAGGAGGAGGATGGTAGGAGGAGGCTGAGGAGAAGGAGGAGGACGAGGAGGAGGAGGATGGTAGTAGGAGGAGGAGGAGGAGGAGGAGGAGGAGGGAGCAGGAGGAGGAGCAGGAGGAGGAAGGAGGAGCAGGGAGGATGGAGGATGATGATGAGGAGGAGGACGACAACGAGGACGACGTCGATGACGACGGCGACGAACAGGGCGAGGGGCAGGGAGGCCTCCCCTCTCTCTTCCTTACCCTCCTTCCCTCCAACCCCTCCTCGCCTCCCTCTTGCCAGAGTGTAAGTTTGCTGGTAAGTGCCTTGAGTGCTCTCTGGTCAGACGCGGTTGTCCTGATGCCCCTGGAATTGAAACTTTCATTACACCTTTTCCCGCCTTAGCCCATTTCGATCGCATCGATCCGAATTGGTATTGGTTCCTGCTGGCTCGATTCGATTCGATTCCGATGTTCCGACGATCTGTTGGGGCCACATGCTTGCATTGCGTTGCTGTGCATCTTGGCAGCCGTTTCGATTCGATTTCGATTATGTGCCGATGCAGCCCGATCCAACGCCCATTTCGATTCGATCCAATTTCCCGATTCGATGCTGACTGATCCTGCCTTCACCCCTCCCGGGACTCCTTCCCAGGGCTGCTCGCCCACATCGTGTGGGGCTGCGGGGGGGGGCCATACGAGAGCGCTGCCAGAGGCGAGCGGTGCTCCAGGCGAACGACGTGCGTGCGATGTTGGGCTCGGCTTTGATCTGGTCTAGAGCGGTCCTCGCTGATTTTCGGTGTCCCGGGCCTCCCTGGAAGGAGGAGGAGGAGGAGGAAGAAGAGGGAGGAGGAGGAGGAGGAGGAGGAAGAGGAGGAGGAGGAGGAGGAGGAGGAAGAGGGAGGAGGAGGAGGAAGAGGAGGAAGAGGGAGGAGGAGGAGGGAGGAGGAGGAGAAGGAGGAGGAGGATGAGAAGGAGGAGGAGGAGAAGGAGGAGGAGGAGGGTGAGGGCGACGCTTACCTCTGGTCGGTCTCTTTTTTGCTGGCGCGCGGGCCGCTCCATGCGGATCCCTCCTCCCGCCATTGCGCCGACCTCGTGCACGGCGCGCCCGCCTCTGGTCGGGCCAGACGCCTGCAGCTGATACCAGTCGAGAGGCTGGGCCACGCGGACTCGGGAGCCGACGACGCGCTGCTACCCTCAGAGCCTGCAGGCCGTTCGTTCGAAGTACGCAGGCATATTTTCTTCAGATCGTAAGTCACGGAGGCCTCCGCTCGTCTTGGATGGAGTGTGTGTGTGTGTATATAGCGCCCAACAGCGCTTGATAGCGCCTAGCGCCAACTGGCGCCCAACAGCGACCAGTAGCGCCCAACAGCGACCAGATGCGCCAGTTCGCGCCACGTGAGGGAGATGCGTTCAGTCTGCTTTGCGCCCGATTCGGCGCGCAACTGGGCGCCATGGGGCCGACCAGAAGCTCCCCTCAGGTGCTTCCTGAATCTCCTGGGCCCCTGGCTCTGGCGATCTGGCCCCGCCACCACACCGTGTGGGCCCTCGGCACACCCGGCGCGTGTACGCGGGGGGGCCCGGCGAGTGCGTCGAGTCGGGGGCCCATGGTCCAGGCCTCCTAGACCGAGTCCGACCCCATTCGTTTCCGACCCCATCGAGGAGGCCTCTGCGTGTGCTGGAAGAGCCTTGCGACTGGGGGTGGACGGGGCCCAGGCGTCCCTTCAAATCCGGGCTTTGCCATCTTTTCGCGCCGGGCGTTGTCGTCCGTTCTGGGGCCCTGGGGCCACCACAGATCAATCTGGTTCGGGAGATGCCGCAGAAAGATTAGGCCTAGGGCTCTGGTGTGATGTTTCATGTTTTTTGCGACGTCGTATTTCAGGGTCCTCGCGTCGTGAATACATCACGATGGAGCGCTCCAGAGCGCTCCGAGCGGGCCTCGGCGCCAGGTACGTCCTCCAGGCTCGCTGGGTCTCAGAGATTCCCGCTGTATCTCCATCTCGATGACCCTCAGGACGTGTGTGAGCCCAATTTGTGTTTGCCCCGTTCAGCATCACCGGTAGCACGCAGCCAGTGTTGGCACTTCGTGCGCTGCCTGCGTCGCATTGGATGGCTTCGTTGGATAAACACACGTTGGTGCCAACACACGTTCTGAGGATCATCGACCATCCGAACACATCCTCATCTTGCCTTCCCCTTACCCTGTCAGGGCGTGTGTGCAGGCAAGACGCTGGAATAAGGACACCTTTGGGTCCAGGAGGGGCTTTCCAGTCAATTGCACGGCAATCGAGCCCTCGATCTGGCAACTTTCCAAGATGATTTCGTCGACCTCATGATTTCGTCGACCTTCTAGGAGGGGCTCAGTTTTCTTCGCGCCGTCCCTCAGAGCCAGGTTGGGGAATCTTGTGCGTGGCCGAGGCTCGCTGTGGCCAGAGAGGTCCTGTCGTTCCTGGCGCACGTGACTGCCCTGGTGTTTCGACCCGTCTGCGAGGCCCCCCCCCCCAAAGTGTCGTGAGTCTCTCATTGCGTGCCCCCCCCAGAGGTCTGGATTCCTCCCCAGGGACGGCTGGTTTTCATCCCGAGACGTTCTGTTGATGGACCCGGAGGCCGAAACTGTCCCAAACACCTCCCGTCGTGATGCTTCAGCGACTCGAGGGGGCCGCGGACCCGCGCGCCGAGTTCCGCTTCCAAGGCCCTTCGGGCGCCTGCGGGCCTTCACGAGCGCGGCGAACTCTGCCCGCATCCGCGCCCTCGCGGCCTGCACTCCGGGGCGCGATCCCGCGGAGACGCGGCCGCACGGATGCAGCGGAGGCCCACGCCAAGAAGCACGCTGCTTGCCTCGGGGGTGCCCTGGGTTTCTCTTGCGGGCCTCCATGGTTCTGCGCTGGGAGGCGTGACGTGCCCACACCAAGAAGCAGTGGACGCCCTGGGGGCCTCGGGGCCGGGCACCCGCGCAGGAGCGCCCCGCAGCCGCGAGGTCGCGGCCCAGGAGGCCCCCCGCATCCGCGAGGCCGCGCATGCGGGCCGCGTCTCTCGCCCGCAAGGCCTGCGGGGCGGCGCGTCGGCCGCGTCCTCTCGGGGGGTGGTCGGCTGTCGGGCGTCAGGCCGCTGGGCCCCGCCGCCTCTTCGTGCAGCGCGTCGGCGGCCACGCCCGCCACGGCGAGCGGAAAAGGTGCCTCCGCCTTCTCTCGGCGGCGAGCGAGGGGGGGAACTGAGAGAGAGAGGGCGGGACTTCTCAGAAGGCGGCGGGACTTCTCAGAAGCCATCGCGCCTTCCGAGAAGTGCTTTTGTCTGCCTTCGGGGAAGGCTTCAAGAAGCTCCCCAGGAGGCTTCGGGGGACTTCCGAACCGTCTGAGAAGGGCTTCTCCTTCTCGCTTCTCCCCCTCGCTCGCCGCTAGTTCTCAGGGGCAGCGCTGCGGGGGGGGACGGGCTCAGGCTCCGGGGAGGACGCACGTCAGGAGGGGAAAGCACACACAGACACAATTAATCGTCGATCCCCAAGAAAATATGGGAAAATATGGGAATTGGGCGGAATGACAAACACCCAGAAAACATGGGAAATTATGGGGAATCTTTTCATTTGTGTGTATTTATTTGTGTGTCCCAGGGCCCCTTCAGCATGGAACCCCAATCGCCCACGGATCGCCGAGAGGGGCCCGAGAGCCCTTGCCCCCCCCCGGGAGCGCGCGGAGATGTGCGGAGATTCGCCGTCGGCGGCCTCTCGCCGGTGCATCCCTGCCTCCAGGTCGATGTTTCCTCCTCTGCGCCCCTGGCTCGATGATCCTCAGGACGTGTGTGAGCTCAGTGTATTTCCAGTACTTCGCCACCGGGTTCCTGTACAAGGCGTTCCTTTGCAAGCACTTCGTCTTCGGCACCGCCTGATTCTGGAGCTTTGCCCTCTCTTGGCCTTGACGTGAGACCCCTCCTTCTGCCTTCCCCCTCTTTTAATTCAAGCTGTGCGCGGCCCGCTTAGCTTCGACCGGAAGAGGTGCGCTCTCGACCCGCGGATCAAAAAGTGAGCCCAGTGTGTGTGTGTGTGTGTGTGTGTTGCCCCGTTCAGCGCCACCGGTAGCACGCGTCTTGTGTTTGCACTCATTGCGCTGCCTGCGTCGCATTGGAGGGCTTCGTTGAACAAGCACACGCTGGCGCCAACACGCGTTCTAAAAATCATCGACTCGCCGAAAACGTCCTCATCTTGCTTTCGCCTTACCCTGTCAAGGCGTGCGTGCAGGCAAGACGCCGAAATGAGGACCCTTTGGGTCCAGGAGGGGCTTTCAGTCAATTGCACGGCAATCGATCCCTTGATTTGGTAACTTTCGAAGATGATGTCGTCGACCTCCTAGTTTCGAAGGGGATCATCGACCAGCTTTCCCCCTCACCCACGAGGGGTGGTGGTGGTCACTGCATGAGGCAAGCAAGAGTCCCGAACAGAGCGCTGCGCACCGTGCAAGGCGCGCTTCCGAAAGCAATCGTGTGGGCCCACGCCCCACGAACGTGAGCTGGCAGATGTCCTCGCGGCGGGTCCTGCGCACGCCCCGCCAGGCGACGGAACGGCGGGCACAGGGCGACGAGGGACTCGCCGCGTAGTCTGCTGGCGCCCCAAATCTCCGGGGGCACCGTTGAGAACAAAGAAGACACTCGTTCTAAGCGGAGGGGGAAAGGGGAGGGGAGGGGGGAAGGAGAGGCGGGCGCTGCGCGCTGACTGGGCTACCTCACAGATTCTCAATGCTGTCTTTGCGGGGCGTATCTGGGACGATCTTGCGCAGCTCGTCCAAGAGGACCTGTAGCTTGCGCTCGCCTCCCGCGCGGGGGGCGCCTGGCCGTACTTCTGCACGCCGCCACTCGCAGAGATGGTTTTCACCACGATGCGTGTCAGCTCCTTGGCCTCAGGGGCCGTGGCCAGGAAGAGCTTCTTGTGGGTGTCTCGGAAAGCTTTGCGAACCTTGCACACATGTACCACATGGACCAAGGCGTCCGCATCCGACGCTGCAGAGCGGCGGCTGGTGACCACGGTCCTTTCTTCTGGCTTGCTCAGATGCTCGTCGGTGGCCGCCAGGGCGGTAAGATTAGTTAGCCCAGACGTGTGCACGTGTGGCTCACCCTTGGGTTTTGATCCTCGGCCCTCTTTCGCAGCCTTGCACGTGTCGGCGTACTGCTTGCTCGTGCGCCGGGCTTCGGAAGTCTACTTGTTGTCAATCTGGCAGAATCTCATGATGAACGCAGCCGCCTGGCGCCCTCTGATCTCCAAGCTGCTCTCCAGAGTGAGGGCGGCAACCGATCTGAGAGTCTGTGCGAGCAGCTCCTCCGTGCCCGCTGCGACCCTCTTGGCTGCCGCAGCCCCCTCCTGAGCACCCAGCTCTCCCCCCTCGCCCGCGGGCGGGAGCAGGAGCACCCGCGCCCGTGGCACGCCGCCGCCGGGAGCCCGCCGGCGCGCTATGCCCCGTCCGCGCTCGCCCGGAGGCCCGGCGCGCAGCTGCAGACATCGCCGGCCACGGCACGCCCGCGGCCTCTCCGCTCGAAGGCTCAGATATGGGGTCCTGCGGGCTGGGGGCCTCGGAGCAGGGAGGGGTCCAAGGGCGGATCCACCTTGTGTGAGGCATCCTGAGGCCCCCATTTCTCGGGGCCCCTTTTTCCCAACCATCCTGTGGTGTTGGGTCCTCGTTTCGAAGAGACGGTGCCCCGCGTTCCTCTCCTCTCCTCTCCTCTCCTCTCCTCTCCTCTCCTATCCTCCTCTCCTCTCCTCTCCTCTCCTCTCCCTCTCCTCCTCCTCTCCTCCCCTCCCCCTCTCCTCCCTCCTCCCCTCTTCTTGCTTTTCACCCACCCAGTCCAGCGTTTCGTAGCCCCATAGGAGCTCCACCGAAGGCCCCAGTGCCCGCGCCCGCATGCGTCACCCACACCCATTCGGCACACCCCTCACACGTTTCGTGGCTCCATAGGGAGCTCCCCCGAAGGCCCCAGTGCCCGCGCCCGCATGCGTCACCCACACCCATTTCGGCACACCCCTCACACGTTTCGTGGCTCCATAGGGAGCTCCACCGAAGGCCCCAGTGCCCGCGCCCGCATGCGTCAGCCACACCCATTTCGGCACACCCCTCACACGTTTCGTGGCTCCATAGGGAGCTCCACCGAAGGCCCCAGTGCCCGCGCCCGCATGCGTCACCCACACCCATTTCGGCACACCCCTCACACGTTTCGTGGCTCCATAGGGAGCTCCACCGAAGGCCCCAGTGCCCGCGCCCGCATGCGTCACCCACACCCATTTCGGCACACCCCTCACACGTTTCGTGGCTCCATAGGGAGCTCCACCGAAGGCCCCAGTGCCCGCGCCCGCATGCGTCAGCCACACCCATTTCGGCACACCCCTCACACGTTTCGTGGCCCATAGGGAGCTCCACCGAAGGCCCCAGTGCCCGCGCCCGCATGCGTCAGCCACACCCATTTCGGCACACCCCTCACACGTTTCGTGGCCCCATAGGGAGCTCCGCCGAAGGCCCCAGTGCCCGCGCCCGCATGCGTCAGCCACACCCATTTCGGCACACCCCTCACGCGTTCCGTGGCTCCATAGGGAGCTCCGCCGAAGGTCCCAGTGGGTGTGCCCGCATGCGTCCCGCACACCCATTTCGGCACACCCCTCACACGCTTCGTGGCCCCATAGAGAGCTCCACCGAAGGCCCCAGTGGGTGTGCCCGCATGCGTCCCGCACACCCATTTCGGCACACCCCTCGTACGTTTTGTGGCCCCGTAGGGGGCTCCACCGAGAAGATATTCACAATTGCAGTATTCACAATTGCATATGGTTGGGTCCTTCGCCAGGATAATTTTTTGAACCAGCGATCCACGGCGGCGTGCCGTTGGGACTGCTCTTTCGCCCCCTTCGCGTTCCGAACGGCTCCTGCCCTTCCCTCGCCTCCCCTCTCCTCCGAGCGCGTTCCACTGCTCGCGAGCGGCCTGCTCGCAGACGTCCGACAATCGAAGGTCTGCCTCGATGTGGTGTGTCGTGGATCCCCCGCGGCGGATCCAGGCCATGTGCGAGCAGCATCTCTTTGCGAGTAGTGGAACGCGCTTGCCTACCTCTCTCCGCGTCCGCCCCTTCGTGCCCAACATGCTCCCGGCAGATTCCGCCCGCTGCACGACCAGCGCCTGCACCTGCTCCAGCTTGCTTGCGCGCGCTGATAAAGAATTGCTCTTGCGCCCCCGAGACCCCGCCGTCTCCTCGAGGAGGAGACGGAGGATGAGACGGAGGAGGAGGAGGAGAAGGAGGAGGAGGAGGAGGAGGAGAAGGAGGACGAGGAGGGGAGGAGGGGGAGGAGGAGGAGGAGGAGGAGGAGAAGGAGGAGGAGGAGGAGGAGGAGGAGGCGGAGGAGGAGGAGAGGAGGAGCGCGCGGGTGGCGACGCCTGCCACGCAGAGCGGAGGAGGCGCCCCGGGCCCGCTGGCCAGGGGAGGGGGTGCAGGTCGTCGGAGCAGCAGTGGCCAGCAAGAGGGGTGTGCTCGAGGAGGCGATCCAGAAACGGCCTCGCCTTTGAGGATCGCAGGAGCTGGCATCTCCTCGTCGGCGGAAGGCGCAGAAGGTCGCTGAAAGTCGGCGGAAGTCAAACGGGGGCGGTTCCGCCAGCGGAAGGAGGCGGACGGCCTGCGAAAGCCGGCGGAAACAAACGTTGCCTTCCTTGGGGTAATTTGTCGTCCAGGGTTAACGGAACCCGCCACATGGATATTCGACTTGAAGGTCACCGATATTCTTGACGGGACGCGCATGCCTTTTCATTTGTTTGCGACTGCTTCTGGGCGTACGGCAACCTGCAGCCCATAGTATCGCAATCTGACAACTTGGCGATGGTGCGGACAATTTGCAGTTTTTCTGATCACGGGAGCATGGCAGAGGAAGCGACACAGCAGAAGTGAAGCATGACACGCATGATTAGCACGTGTGCCTTCTACACGCGCGGAGCCATGCAATGTTGGGGAAGAGTGTTTGCAGCAGTTCGATTTCGCTCACAGGGTGACTGCTCAATGCCTAGCTTGTGATCGACATGCCACGTATAGTATACGTGGCATGTCGATCACAAGCTGGCCAGACCGCTGGCCAGACGCGAGCACATGGCAATTGCAAAAAGCTTTCACAGTGGAACGGAGACGCCGAGCCTGCTCACATTGCACATGCTCATGTCGAGGACAGTTGGACAACCGTGGATCTCCTTGACGAGTTTCTGGTGTGAAGACTGTGTATTGCTGGCTGCTTATAGTTCTTGTCATCCTCCTCGTCCTCGTCCTCTTTTTGTTTTCCCTTCTCAATGGCACAGTCAAGCCTTATCCTCTCCGATTCCAGCGCCATGCTTGCCTCTCGTTCTGACACTCTCGGACATCGCGCCTGTGGCAGTGCTGTTCCTCCTCCTCCTCCTCCTCCTCCTCCTCCTCCTCCTCCTCCTCCTCCTCCAAGGCACGCCAGACCCCTCCTCCACCACTCCCCCTCTTCCTCTTCCTCCTCCTCCCGCTGCTTACTCCTCGACCTCTCGTCGCTCCATCCTCCCGCCCCGCCTCCGTGCCCCTCGTGCTCGAGGGGGCCATGCGGCCCTCCCTCCGTTAGTGGCCGCGCCGTTGCCGGCCCGCCCCTCCATCTGTTAGCGAGCCATGCCCAAGCAGGTCTGTGTTCGGCCCAGCCCCTCCCCTCTACGGAAGGGGGTCGTGGCAGAGGGAGGAGGGGGAGAGGAGTGGCCGGAAAGGAGAATTCGCAGGAGGAGGAGAGAAGAGCGAGAAGGAGGAGGAGCACCAGTGTGAGCCCAAGGCGCATCAACGATGTTGCAATACACACTGCCTCCAGGTGCCGTCCTCGCAGGCCTAGAAGAGTAGTTCATTTTGACTTCGGGGAGTGTCCCATTGGAAGGCAACCGCCTGATAATCCTCAAGCGTACCAAAACACCGTTCCTGAGACCAACGTCGAGAATCAACGTGACTGTTGCGTCCTGACAATCCTGAGTCGTGCCAGAACACGATTTGGGTGAATTCAACACCGCGCATCATTGTTTCTGCCGCTTCGTAACAATCCCGAATCGTGCTCGATCACATTTCCTGGGATTTCAACTGTTGTAAGCTCATAAGACGACGATGCGTAGAGAGAACCACATTTTGAAAACCACCCGCCCTCCAACCTTGAAGCTGCTGCACATTCCAAGTTTCAGGATCATCAGTTATAAGGATGTCGCAGGCGAAACGCCCTTTCCCGCCCTGCCGACACGTCAGGGGGTGCGACATGGAAGGGTTATTCAAAAGGAAAGGGATTGAGGGGGACGAGGAGGACCAGTGTAAACTTCAAGACGCATCAGCGATGTTGCAATAAGCCCTCCCTCCAAGTTCCCTCTTCACATGTCCCTCCATAGGACTGCGTCCTGACAGTCCGATATCGTGCCAGAGCACCATTCCTGGGACTCCAACACCGCGAATCAACGTGACTGTTGCGTCGTGGCAATACGGGCAGCTGCCCTCTATCCGTGATGCCGCTGCACAATTTACAGACGACTGTGCGCGGCGCTAAGGCGAGAACCACGTTTTGAAACGGACCTGCCCACCATTCTTGAAATTTTTGCAACAGTTTAGGACACTTGTCGGCGGCGCCCAGGCGAGAACCATATTTTGAAAATGGCCCGCACTCCATCTGTGAAGTTGTTGCAAAGTTGAGGGCGACTGTTCGCTGCGCTACGGCGACAGCCGCTTTTTGAACACGACCCTGCCTGCATCCGTGAACTTGTTGCGCAGCGCTCAATCGGGAGCCACATTTTGGAAATGACCCGAATTCCATCAGTGAAAGTGAAGCAAACTTTTAAGACTACTGCTCGCTTCGCTCAGGCGAGTGCCACGTTTTGAAAGCCTCGCCCTGCATGATTGAAACTGTTGCGAACTGTCAAGGACGACTGTGCGGCTCTCAGGCGAGAGCCGCAACGTGAAAATTTCCCACACGCCAGCCGTGAATATGCTGCGGACTTCAAAGACGATTACTCGCGTTGCTAAGGCGACAACCTTTTTTTGTAAATGACCCGCCCTCCATGCTGCTACAAGCTTGTAGGAACACATGCGCGCGGTGCTGGGGCAAAGTCCGCATTTTGACCATGACCCGCATTCCATCCGTGAAACGGTTGCACACTTTTCCATCGATTGTGCGCGGCGCCTAGGCCAGAGTCACATTTTGAAAAGGGCCCGCCCTCCATCCTTGACAATGCTGCAAACGTTCAAGACTGCTGCGCGGCGCTCAGGCGAGAGTCACATGTTGAAAATGATCCGCCCTCCACCAGTGAAAATGCTGCAACTGGGCATCGGCTCAGCTCTGTTGAGCTTCGGGGTCCTTCTCCTGCCCTGACGCTCCCGCGTTGTGAAATATTCACGGCGGGAGGTGTTTCAGGATGTTGGCCCTTGGGGGCCCTCGCTGGACCCCGCTGCCATCAAGCAGCGGCGCGGGATACGGCAACCAATCCCGATGAAAGGGCCCAGACCTTTGGGGAGCCACCTTGCGGACGTCGGATGCCTGCCTCGCACTGCTCCTAAGGCCTCAGGTATCGCGAAGACTTCACGGCGTCCGTCAGGGGTCTGGCTTGGAGCCACGGGGCGCCCAAGAATTGAGAGGAATTGGGCCTCGGGATGTGGTCCAGAGTTCCACGGCCCTTGATTTGAAAGGTGTATGCAGCGCCACTCCAGAGGTCTCGACCATGTGGTGAGTATATGCCCTCGCTCTCGCGACCTGGACATCCCAAGTTACGCTAAGCCCCCGCTTTCCCGTGCGGCCTCCGTCTTGCGGCCACCCGGGTATGGGTTGGTTGGGGGGCTCCCCCGCAGTGGTTGTTCCCGCTCTGACGCGCCTCGTCCTTCTCCTCTTCCACCTCGTCATCCTGATGTTCGCCCTCCTCCTCCTCCTCCTCCTCCTCCGCGTCGTCCCCTGAGTTGCTGAGGGGGGAAGAGGAGAAAGGAGGAGGAGGAGGAGGAGGAGGAGGACGGAGGAGGAGAAGGACGGAGGGCTTTGAATTGAGTAGGAAGGTGAAGCACATGGAGAGAGAGAGGGAGAATGAGGAGGAGGAACAAGAGGAGAAGGAGGAGGAGAAGGACTATCACAGCTTAAGGGGGAAGGCAAAGGGTTGGTCGACCCGACCCAACCCGACACCTTCGGCTCCGATGGCCACATACTCATCGTCGTCGTCGCCTTCTGGCCCGTGCGCGGGCTCCTCCGCTCCGGCCCTTCCACTGAGCAGTTGGGCGGCGGGGATGCGACAGCCGAGGCGGGGTGCGGTCTTGGGGCCATCGGGGTGGCGCCCGAGGCTGTAGGAGCGACCACGCTCCCTTCCCTTTGAGCAGTTCCTTGTGACCTGTCTGGGGCAGTCCTTCCCTAAGCCTTCAAGGTTGCTCTCTGCGTGCTGACCACACGAGCGGCAAAGCACAAGACGCGATTGCACTGCCACCGAGTCAGAGATAACAAGAAGGTCGTGCCTCCTGTGGGAGCCCTGTAGCGGGCGGACACGGAGGCTGCACTCCCTGGACAGATCTCCTGGGCTCTGGACTTGCGCGTGCACTCTGTACGCGCACGCGTGTGGCAAATCAAGCAGAGCCAGCGATTGTTCAAGCAGAGCCAGCGATTGTTCAGGCGCGGGGATCCTTCCTGTCTTGATCTCCATCTGTATGGCCCCCCCCTGTCGCCGTCGCCCCCAAAATATTGCGCCTCACGTATGCTTGAAGTCAGCTGTCCACGGCGCGCCCATCGCACGTCGCACAACTGGCGCGATTGGTTTCTGAACTGGCCCGTGCGGCGACAGCCTGTCTCTGCCCATCTGTCCACGACGGGCCCGTTACCGCCGCACTGGGGAGACCTGGTCGGGGCGGACCCCGCACCCCTCGCGCGCCATTGTGTCACGGCTCCCGCCGGGGTACAACGATGTGCAGCTGCGAGTATCGCACTGTGCGGGGGCCCACTCTGATGCTGAGGCTTCCGCGGGAAACGCAGACGTGAGCCCGCGCAACTCCGCACCAGCAAATCGGCACGCCCGAAATGGGTACGGAAAGAATGGGTACAATGCCCAAGAGCAGTTCCTGTTCATTTTGAACAGGACTCGCTGTCCGCGCCGCCGCGGCCTGTGCCCATTTGAGACAGAAGGCCGCCTGCCCAACAGCGGCCGCTGTTAGTTTGGGACAACATTTGTTGTTGGGCATTGTACCTATTTTTTCCGTACCCTTTTCGGGCGTCCAAAGCAAAGAGAAAGGGTTCGTAGGACCAGCTCCAGGCGCGCAACTGCTTGGCCCGGGGGCTCCCTCGGGGCTCTCGGGCGCCCGCGCGCCCCCCATGCGGGCGGCGGAGGCGGCGCAGGCCCACGGCTCGACAGCTCCGGGGGGTGGGGGGGCGGGGGCCATGCGACGCGACGGTGGGCGGGCTTCTCGGAGGCTCTTCTCCTCCTCCTCCTCCTCCTCCTCCTCCTCCTCCTCCTCCTCCTCCTCCTCCCCGTCCTGGGCCGCTCCGACCGGAGGGCTGCGACTCTGGGCTGGCGGCTCAGGGGCTTTCTTCCCCGCCTCGGGCGCGAGAGGGGCCCACGAGGTGAGCTGCAGGCATCGCTTGGGGAGCCTGCTGGGTCTCCGAGAGTCTGGAGCTCCTGGGCTGGCGGGCCAGGACTCGGAGCCGCTGTAGCTTTCGCCATCCTACCCGCACAGTCGTTTCCCGTCGCTAGAAAACATTCGCGGGAGCCGTTGTGAAGTTCATTGGGAAGTTTGAGAGCTTGAATTTTCTCGGTCTGCAACCTGGGAAAGCTGGGCTGGGCACGAGCGAACGCTGTCGACCCAGAACACATTTCCTTCTCACTCACGACGGGGTTCTGATGGACAGTCGGAATTCCACCAAAGTCCGCTCGAGTGACCCCTGGAAAAGTGGAAGCAACGCAGGAAGCCCAAGTGCTCCGCGGCTGGGGAGGCCGGAGGGAGGGGGGCGCCAACGATCCCAGAAACACTGGCGACGAAATCACCCGCTTCATCGATTTTGACCACTGCCCAGGCTGGGGCAGCATAGATCTTCTGCCCTGGCTTCAAGACGCTGCCATCATATGGAAACAGTCATTTCCTATCGTTGCCTCAGACGTGTCTCCTCCATCCCTGGTCCAATACTTGTCCGGCAGTTGTCCAAGTCCTTGGGATCTCACGGCAACTGGTTCGGGCGAAGTCTGGAATCCGATAGCGAGAAGGAACTTCAGGCTCTTGCCCGTTAGGGTCTCAACATCACTGTCCTGGAGGTATCGGTTGCGGTGATCGTGGATCCCAGGGTACTGGCATAGGCGGTGGCACACTGGCAGAATAAGAATGGTAATAGTGTTTTCCTCATGCTACCTGGGATCGATCCGTCCTTCAGTGCTCGCTGTGGTCTGCAACAGCTGGATGTGCCACTGCTCTTGGAACATCTTCTTAATGATGCTGCGTCCTGGAACACAAACGGACCGGGCATAGATCATCCCAGGCGCCCAAGCCAGAGCAGCGTGGCCCCCAGGTCCCAGGGGCCCTCTGACTTGGTACCAGTGCTCCAGCGGCTCCTGGATCGGGTTCTGGGCTTGCCTCCAAAAGTCTGGGACCGCAAAGGCCCCCGTGCTCCAGAGAAGTGCGCTGTCCTCCGGAGCAGATTGGTCCAGCAT